GGTAAATTTCTTTTTGCAGAAAGAACATTCAAAAGGTTTCTCTCCAGTGTGAGTTCTCAGGTGACATGTTAAATTCCACTTTGAAGCAAATTTCTTTCTGCAGTATGAACACTCCTTATCTCTGACATTTGTTGCTAGATGACAATTCACACCAGACTTTCTTTTTGATGTGTTTTTGAGATGTAAGTTCTTTTCTCCAAAAGGCAAAATACGATTTCTGTCTCCTTCCTGTAGAAAGCTGCCAACATTAAAATCTCTATCTTTAGTATCCCCAGTGTGATTTTGTACCTGAAATTTCAAATATTTCTTTACGTGAAAATTTCTATTCACAGTACATATAAGAGCATTCAAAGGGCTAATCTCCAGCATGTGTTTTTAAGTGTGAGTCCGTGTATGACTTATCATATTTTGTTTGCGGGTAAATTTCTTTTTGCAGTAAGAACATTCAAAAGGTTTCTCTCCAGTATGAGTCCGTGAATGATCTATCATATGATGTTTCAGGGTAAATTTCTTTTTGCAGAAAGAACATTCAAATGGTTTCTCTCCAGTGTGAGTCCGTGAATGAGTTATCATATCTTGTTTGCGGGTAAATTTCTTTTTGCAGTAAGAACATTCAAAAGGTTTCTCTCCAGTATGAGTCCGTGAATGATCTATCATATGATGTTTCAGGGTAAATTTCTTTTTGCAGAAAGAACATTCAAATGGTTTCTCTCCAGTGTGAGTCCGTGAATGAGTTATCATATCTTGTTTGCGGGTAAATTTCTTTTTGCAGTAAGAACATTCAAAAGGTTTCTCTCCANCATTATCTAGACCAGGTTCAATATCTATGTCATCTCTAGCTACTTCTAAAACAACTGGTTCTTGCAGTGGTGATGTTTCTGTGCTGTTGATAACATGGTCTGTATTGATGTAGATGGAAGTACAGCCATTATTACAGCCATTGTCATCTGTCTGTGTACCAATGGTGCAGACTTCTTTGTAGACAACTGGTTGACCAATCATGACACAGTCTCTTGAACTCTAAAATGGTAGAAATTTATTATCAGATGATGATGATGATGATCTATTGTGTTAGACTGTTGATCTTCAACTTTGGAACTAGGGTGAAGACACCCTTCATACAGACATGTCGATGAGCAAAAAAAAAACAAATTATGCAGACTTTTTTTCCCATATTATGCAGAAAAAAGAGTAAATTATGTAGAAAAATATGCAGGATGACGTCATCACAGGAATGTAAACTTTGGGAAATTTTTCATATTTTTAGGTTATTGTGTTTGTTTTTCATGGTACATTTGTGAAGCCCACAAAAACAAAACTACATTCGGAAAATTATACTAGTAAGCATGTTTGGGAGTGTTTTTTGATCAATCAGTCAAGGGACCACAAAAAACATTTTAGTAGAAGGCAATTCATCTTAAAAAATGGTATAACATGGAAAAAAATTATGAATTATGCTGGATTACGCGCGATTTGGTAAATTATGAGGAAAGGGAGCAATAATATGTGCGTCCGCATCCGCGCATAATTACGACATGCCTGTTCATAAAGATTGTTACTAACAATGCTAGATCAAATAATTATTTATTTTCACTTTTTCTGATAAAGTCAGAGTCAAGTCGGCAAATCAAATTACGATTCTTGATATCAAATGGACCAAAAGACGTAATGAAGAACATGTCGAAAAAAACCTGATTGTCCACGGTTTTTACGGTGATAAATTTATCTTTTCACATAACTGTTTCTTTAGAAACACCGACGCAGCTCACACTAGTTTACCGCTAGTTCCCACCATTTTACTGATTGTCCACCCACTGAGTCAAATCAWGTTTGCAAAGGAGAAAACTGCGATTTTGAAGAAGACTACAGATTTTTGAACGACTTTGCGAAATTTGAAAAAAATATTTCTCTGCACAGAGTTGACGGAGTGCCGCTCAAAATGGTCGGTTGCCATGATAGTTTATATGACTTTTGCTGTAAGAAATTGAGCGTTTCAAGGGAGAATTAATTTTTTGAGTGTGAGCATTTGGAAGCCGCACCGAGCTGGAGTTGCAAACCTTTCCTACATAATAAATATATGCACACTCCAAAGGGAGCAAATCTTTGAAGTGCTCAAAATCACCCCAGTCTAAATGTACTGTCTTATACCACCAATTTTCTGATGGATTCCTTGGAAGATAACACACTTGTAAAACTTATGGATTATGTTCATTAGGAATGCCATGAATAGAAGACAAAGACAATTGAGAAAACTTTTGTTTCAGAAAGCCCTTTGCTTTTTGTATTCAAAATTAGTTCCAGTGAAAGAAGTAATTGCATGGACTTGGAATCTGTCCAGTCCTCATTTTCAGACTTTAAACATTACTTCTGACTTTCTGAGAATGATTTTCAGTGTTTTTAGCAGAGGTAAACCAAGCTCTACGCGCAATAGTCACTTTTAGCTGAAATTTGGCGAAAAAAAAAATAAAAAATAAAAAAATTGTATGTTGTCTTTGTTATTATCCTTGTTCTTCATGTGAAGTTTCTGGTCATTTGGATGAATATTTAGTGTTTTTTTTTTTCATTTTGTAACGTTACCTCCTTRCCTTATTTAAATTTATGTACATTACAAAATACGAGAAAAAAACCTAACTAGTCGTTTAAATGACCTGAAACTTCACACGAAGAAAAATAACAATGAAAGGTACAATTACTTTATTTTCTGGTATTGAAATTGAATTGAGAAGATCATTAAAGGAACACTGTCAATGGATGACATGCGCAGTAACAGTCTCGCCTCTAACGGACTTTGAAAGTATTACCTTCGAGGTAAATCATTTTGTGGTGCTTTTGACACACTTTGGAATATTCTAGATCTGTTTACGTTTACGAGCTGATTTATGTCGCGCCAACTTGGAGTCATAAACTTGAAAACACTAGCCTAGTGTTTTCAAGTTTACTCGCGCATGCGTGCCATTGACAGTGTCCCTTTAAANCCTCCTGAAGTACATTGTCTATATTGTTGACAATGGTGTCTGAATAATTTGTTGCTTCACTGCTGTCTGAATCAAAGCTATTGTCATCTTTAAGAATTCTTAGCATTGCATCAGTTTCTTCCATGTCTCTGCTTCTGTCTTCTCTCCATCCATCATCCAATCCATTATCTAGACCAGGTTCAATATCTATGTCATCTCTAGCTACTTCTAAAACAACTCGTTCTTGCAGGGGTGATGTTTCTGTGCTGTTGATAACATGGTCTGTATTGATGTAGATGGAAGTACAGCCATTATTACAGCCATTGTCATCTGTCTGTGTACCAATGGTGCAGACTTATTTGTAGACAACTGGTTGACCAATCATGACACAGTCTCTTGAACTCTAAAATGGTAGAAATTTATTATCAGATGATGATGATGATGATGTAATGTGTTAGACTGTTGATCTTCAACTTTGGAAGTAGGGTGACGACACCCTTCATACAGGCATGTCGATGAGCAAAAAAAAAAACAACAAATTATGCAGACTTTTTTCCCATATTATGCAGAAAAAAAGGTAAATTATGTAGATAATTATGCAGGATGACGTCATCACAGCAACGTAAACTTTGGGAAATTTTTCATATTTTTAGGTTACTGTGCTTGTTTTTCATGGTACATTTGTGAAGCCCACAAAAACAAAACTACATTCGGAAAATTATTAATACTATAAAATACTATCAAATAAACAGTCAAGGGACCACAAAAAACATTAGTAGAAGGCAATTCATCTTAAAAAATGGTAGAACATGGAAAAAAATTGTGAATTATGCTGGATTATGCGCGATTTGGTAAATTATGAGGAAAGGGAGCAATTATGTGCGTCTGCATCCGCGCATAATTCCAACATGCCTGTTCATAAAGATTGTTACTAACAATGTTAGATCAAATAATTATTTATTTTGACTTTTTCTGATAAACTCAGAGTCAAGTTGGCAAATCAAATTACGATTCTTGACATCAAACGGACCAAAAGACGTAATGAAGAACATGTCGAAAAAAACCTGATTGTCCACCCACTGAGTCAAATCAAGTTTGCAAAGCAGAAAACTGCAATTTTGAACAAGACTACAGATTTTTGAACGACTTTGCAAAATTTGAAAAAATATTTCTCTGCACAGAGTTGACGGAGTGCCGCTCAAAATGGTCGGTTGGCATGATGGTTTATCTGCTAATTACTGATAGAACTTTCGCTGTAAGAAATTGAGCGTTTCAAGGGAGAAATAATTTTTTGAGTGTGAGTATTTGGAAGCCGCACCGAGCTGGAGTTGCAAACCTTTCCTACATAATGAATTTTATATATGCACACTCCAAAGGGAGCAAATCTTTGAAGTGCTCAAAATCACCCCAGTCTAAATGCGCTGTCTTATACCATTACACCATTCAAAAAACCAAATTTCTGATGGATTTCTTGGAAGATAACACACTTGTAAAACTTATGGATTATGTTCATTAGGAATGCCATGAATAGAAGACAAAGACAATTAGAAAACTTTTGTTTCAGAAAGCCCTTTGGGAATAGAAAAACAACAAACGCTTCTTTGAAAGAAKTAATTAATGCATGGACTTGGAATCTGTCCAGTCCTCATTGTCAGACTTTAAACATTACTTCTGACTTTCTGA